CATCGATAGGTTCCTAATATAATGAACGACAAGAGCTATGCTTTGTTCAGAAACTCCGAGGACTTAAAGTTAGCCAAACATATCGACGATTATTTCCGATCCGAAGTTATTGTGAAGCGAAACAAACGAATGAGTGAACGAGTGCTCAATATTTTACAGTCAAACCCAAATCAAAGCTATTTCTTTGCATTTGGCGCCGGTATTGATGACAACAATTTCTAAATTATATTTAATTTTTATCATTAAATTTTAAATTCAAAATTAGGTCACTTTTTGGGCAACGACTCGATTCTAGATTTTATTCAAGAAAATGGGTTTAAAATCAATAGAGTTTCGGACTCTAAACGCAAGAAAAAGAGACGAAATCACAGACGAAAGAATCCAAAGAGAGACAAAAGTGGCCAAACTATAGCTCGTATAACACATGTCTGAATGTATGAATACATAACATATAAATATATACTGTATTAATATTGTAATAAAATTATACTAAAATTATCAATTAATAAAAATAAAATTGAGTAAAACATAATTGGATTTAAATTTAGATCAATATATTATATAAAGATGTTTAAATAAAAAAGTGTAAAATATTATTGTAAAATAAAAACATATTATTGAATAGTGAAAGTACAGTAAGTTTGAACCTCTAGTAACTTAAGGTAATGTTGTCATCAATGTTATTCTAACTTATGACATACTGTAGTTTTAGTAAGTGTTAAATATTACAATTTTTATGTTGACTGTAATTGAAAACATGTTTTACTTAAATCTAATCTCAATTTAAAGCTAACTTACATATTATAACGTTAGGAATGCCATAAAATAAATGACATAATACTTGAATGATAAACAGAATAACACTGTATGGCATAGAGTGTATGCTATAGAGTAGAGTATGAATAAACATTCGATTATAATTTCCGTATTTATAGCACTTTCTATACTAAAGATGCACATAAAGTATCAAATATGTAAAATATATTGTAAATTAATGTTTGTATAGAAATTAAATATTATTTTGCATTCAAATCTATAAATGATTATAACTTATCTTATATTGATACATGTGATTGTCTTACATGTGCATAATATGCAAAACCTTTACCTAAACACATTATGTCATAGAGAGCGTCCTTTCCGTCAGTCTGTAAGTGAATTGCTTTTTGAATATATAAGGAGAGAGAGAGAGAGAGAGAGAGAGAGAGAGAGAGTATGTGATGGTAGGATTGGGGGACAGGTTATGGTTATACACAGTATTAATAGAATATTTCCCGAAGCGATGTTCAGATATAGAGCTTGAGTTGAACTGAGTTTGCCTTTGGTTTTGAAGTTGCAATGAATGCCATTTCGTGAATGGCTTCGACTGAGAGACAAAATTGTGGGCCAAATACTATGCCATACACTAAGCCATCCCTTTTTGTTGTGAACATTGTTTTCAATGATTGCCTGATTTAAACCATAACACAATTTGGTTATATTTGTTAAAAACAAATTAAAGTTTTGTGTTTTATACAAATTGCTGAAAGTGTTCATTCATTTACCACCAGAAGTGATATCTTATATAAAAACTTAAATTTGGTAAAAATAAGTAAATTGTCGAATGAATAGGAACTGAGAACATAATGTTTGGAAATAAATTAATAATCATATAATGATATACATGTATATAATGTATAAATGACTGGACAATTGTATTATGGAATTATGGTGTAATCGTCTCAATAGATCCCCGATTAATGCCGTACTTGTGGTCAGTTTGCCATTGCTTTCGAGTCTTCGCATAGAATATTAATATTTTGAATTTAATTTCTTCATATATTAGGTGATCATCATATGTATGGAAGTGTCGATCAAATCTTGTTTAAGAGAACCCAAGTATAAGATTAATAAAATTAAGGTATAATTAATGCTTTAAGAATAAAATTGAAATGAAAACTGAATAATGAAATGAATGTCAATACAGAATGATTGCGATCCCAATTCATTGCCATTTTTGTGGGAAATTAAGAGCAATATATCGTCAAACATGTCGTCCTCCGCCCCTCCCAACAGTCAATCTTACTTTTTCGGGACAATACATGTGCCGTACTCTCGGGTCTGGGACTCGATTCCAAATCGGGTGAAGAGAGCCTTCCATAACAGCGATAATATATTCTTCGAGTTAGATCTGATCGATGGCTATACGGTGTCCACTCTTTCCAAATGTCAAATGCTTCCCAAAGGAGACAAACTCATTGATATTTTGCCGCCAGATCTCTACCGGAGATTGAAAAGTCATTTGGATTACGTGAGGCATAAGTTGCCGACTTGGATGACAGCCGACCAGAGGGCCCGCGGACTCTATGCCGAGTACTTGTATAATGCAATCACAAGCAATTGGGAGCACAAGAAACCCGTTTGGATAATGTTAATGATTAACTCTCTAACAGAAAATGATATTAAATCGAGAGGTATTCCTGTATTGGATCTGTTTCTGGCACAGGAGGCCCAGAGACTCAACAAACACATCGGATCTGTTGAAAAAGTAATACAATTTACCACTTTATGTTCACTAATTATGATCCGTTACATAGTATTTGTTTGCATTCACTTAATGTGCCGTAAATTACTTTCTATTATACTAATTGCTTAATCCGTTGATTGTATTCAGTTTTACATTTAGGCAAATATAGTGTAACTTACATATTGTGTAGTATTCTGTAATGTAATACATAATTAAAATAATATATTTATTAATAACATTCAATATAGTGTTAACTATAATAATAACTGAATATGCATTAACTGATAATGTGTTATATATTTGACATCTCAGGTAGAAGAGCAGTGTATTCCTCTCAATGGACTCAACTATTCTGAAGTGTTGTTTGCATTGAACCAAACCCTATACCAACACGAAGGCATACGACTGGGAATCTTGCGCTCAAAACTGACAACCGATGACCTCATAAGACATTACAATTGCGGTGATCTCAACGAAATCATATTCAACTACGACACCACTCATGTCTGTTTCACTTCACTCTCTTCTTGAATCACATCTCACTCTATGTACTGTTTGTCTTCTCATCGATAGGTTCCTAATATAATGAACGACAAGAGCTATGCTTTGTTCAGAAACTCCGAGGACTTAAAGTTAGCCAAACATATCGACGATTATTTCCGATCCGAAGTTATTGTGAAGCGAAACAAACGAATGAGTGAACGAGTGCTCAATATTTTACAGTCAAACCCAAATCAAAGCTATTTCTTTGCATTTGGCGCCGGTATTGATGACAACAATTTCTAAATTATATTTAATTTTTATCATTAAATTTTAAATT